TGAAGCCAGCAGCGATTTGGTTGTTCATCTGGGTTCTTCTGCTACCTCCTACATGAGCTATGGTAGCATTCTAGGAGTACGTTTTGTAAACCAGCTGCTCCTGAAAGCGTTCACCAGTGTTTCGTAGATTTGTGCAGAGCGTCTCTCTCTATGGTTCATGGTTGGGGGAGGAAACTATTTGTTTTTAAACTTCAGGCTCTGCTGTAAGGCCATCTCTAATCTTCATGATGTCTACTTAGTTCTGCCAGGTTTTGTTAAAGTGACGTATTGGTTACAGAGGTCAGCAGTGAAATTAGGCCAACCAAACAATGTGGTTAATCACAGCTTCTTCATAGGCCAGGTTTGTATGGAGCACTTTTCTTCCTTAAATGAAATCATTATTAGAGAACAACTCAGGTTATTGTTGCTGTCTGGAGATTTTTCTGATTATGTGAACCTTACAGTGCAACAAAAAAGCTAAACAAAAACAGCAGAAGTCTGACAGGGAGAAGGTAAACCTTTCCTCCACTGGATACAGTAAGGAAGCATCTATCATGATTAGCATGTGATCGTCAGCGTAGACAATAACAGCGTCTATACTTACCCATAATGCTGCTGATGACAGGGGGCTGCTGGGAGATGAATACGTTCTCACCATTGCCTTTGTAGAGTATACCTAAAACAGAGAAGATGTAGAGTTAACAAGTAGTCAAGAATGACATGATAAAAATTTGGACACAACTAGGAGATCCAGCAGTTTAAGGTTTAAAAGACACATCAAAACTGATTAGGGATTGGATGAAGCAGGATAACATTTAGGCCCCTGTCACACCTTGATGATTTATCCCAGAATCTCCTAAAACGCTGGCATATGCTCAACTTTTTATGTTTTTTTTAAATTTTGGGCATATACTTAGAGTATTCATAACGAGTCCAGATCTTACATCCAACGACAGCGTAACTTTTGCATACTGTAACCCACGGCAGCGTAATACCCATGAAATGATGCACAAGCCAGTGTCCTGAGGGGAGTAGCAATAAGCTTGGAGGTGTGAGGCCTACATAAAAAGATGACTTTAATCGCGGTATTAACCAAGCTGCTGTTTACCGCCCACCAAAAAAAAAAGAATAAATAACAAGAAAAAGAAAGAAAGAAGGTTTGCAGTTTCAGCAGATTCAGCTTAAGTTAGAAACATTCAGCGCTCGTCTGGAACACGTCAGATACGTTGAAATGCATTTTAGATAAGTTCTCGATAAGTTACGCAGAAGTTATGCTCAGGTTACTCAGAGGTTTAGGATCAAATAGACGCCACGACTGATGAGGAACTGACACCTAATGTATGTCAATCATCAGATAA